GTTTTGATACTGCATTTGTAATACAGAGACTTTTTGTGTAGAACACTGAATGAAAGTTCAACACGAACTCACGAGGAATTCTTATGAATTGGAAGTTATTTATTAATGGATCATTTGTGCTGGATTCAAACTTTGATAAACGTTTTCATTCACGACGCATCAGTCTTTTAATTACGGCAATGCTTATCTATCGTAACAGACCGGAATTCGACCTGAAAATATAGTACACCATGTTCAAGGCAAGAGCATTTGGTAAACGGTCTGTATGACTAATCGCGTGTGCGCCAAACTGGTAATCGTTGCACAAGAGCATGAATCAACATCACTGTTTCACAGCCACGTAAGACTGCACAGTACACTCTCCCTGCCGTAACGCCATAAGAACAATTTAATGACCATATAAATGAATTTATGTAAAACTAAAAAGATCACAGTATTAGAACTTCTTGTTATCAAGAAGCATGGTTATGGTCAGTGAGAACAATGGATTCTGACGATGAAGCTTCATAATTACAGCTAACAATTACCTTCCTGAAAAATGCTCTTAAGACATGGAATGAACAAAGTACTATGTTGGCATGACTGTGCGTAGACTGTACCGCTGAAATTGCGGTCGCCGCTGAATCCATAACGAAAGTGCATGTATCGCATCGCAAATCATTTCTTTAAAGCATTCCAATGGTCTTACGACATCTTTGCGTCGTTCTCGCCTGCAAAGAGCATACATCACAGTGTGCCCTTGCCCAAGACTGTCAGTAGCCACTAGCTGAAACCATGGAAAACTTCAAGATAAATTTATTACTACTCGTTACTTACCCAACTTTGTTGGTGTGATAAGTCTATTCATTGCACACTACCTCTGGGAACTCGTGGAAAATAGCTATTTGCTCCGTGCGACTGAAGCAGATCACAGATACCTTTCCATTTTCATTGAATACTTTAACTTTAGTATTTGCTTGAACGCCCTGTAAAATGTCATTGATATTTTTAGTGTCTGAACTCAATTAATTACATTGTAAGTTTAACAACCTGGGTACAACTGTGGATGAATTTTGGCGATATCGCCTTTAGTAAGCTGTTTGTGGAACTTCCAAGAAACCAGATGCCGTAAGCTATGAGTCGGCGTATTACTCAATAGAAACGTTCACTTGACATCAATTATCGTCTTGAAGGATCTAAAAAAAATATATCCTTCCGTGCAAGGATGGTTGTGAACGGTCTTAATATAGGTGACGTTTAGTTCACCATTTACTACACGGACCCGAAATCCGGATTGACAATGCCTATGTTTCGAAATAAAACATACGTAGATGACCGACGTCATCTTTGTCTAGGTCGTGGTGGTGAGTTAGAAGTTGCATGCTCTTCGGAAGAATGATGATAATTATCACCGTCTACATCATAAACACAACATCTTACTCGGACAACCCGAGCTCAAAATTTTAGGGAACATTTGACCCATTTTGGGGAAGCCGCTATAGTAAACCATGGGGAAATTGTACCAAAACCCCTAAATTCACATTTAACCTTGGCGAAGACCATTTGACTTTGAAGATTTCCCGGAAATTTTCCCACACTTAAGAGATTGGGGAACTGCGTTTACGTCCACATGTACAGACATATCTCATGAAGAAATACTTTAGAGTTTTGTCATCATTGTTTTTTTTACATATTGACATGATGTACTTAGTATGAGCATACTACAGAAATAATTATCAACCACAGAAGTCATATTTAGTATACCTTATGTAGTTCTTTCAAACAGGTCTCAAAATTGTCCCAACTTGTAAGTCGTCGCGATAACATGATATCATTGAAGATTCGTCATATATCATGCATCATCACGATGGCATCGTCTTCGTTACTTGAAGAATGAACGTTACTAGACATAGTGTGGCCGAACTCAATTGAAATCTAAAAATGTCTTGATTTGACCGCTTCTGAAAATTTTCACGAATTGTCGATGTGACGCACCAATCATCTTACTACAGTTTCCTTTAAGTGCTCACACCCTCTTTCATTCGGCGGTACCTTTGACTGGTTCGAGACTAGACGTAGTTGTTGTGGTGTCACGTTGATTGTAAGCCTTAATTGATCTAATTATGAATTATGTTAGAACCACACATATATATTTTACATATGCTTATCTGTAAACATTTCTGAGCAGCCAAGATAGTTTTCTGACTGAAATAGACCTTGGGTGTGCCATTCAACAAATTTCCCCATTTTGGGGTCTTCCCCAAATTCGTAAGAAATATGGAGGTTTTCCCCCGATTTTCGGGAAGATCCCTCAAGATCTCAACTCAGTGTAAATGCTGCCCGTTTTGGGTAAATTCTGGAGAAACTGCAAAAGAAAGTATTGGGGACCTGAGTTTCCAATTTCGGGGAAAGTTTGACCCATTTTACGGAAATTTCGGGGAAGCCGCTATAGTAAACTTTGGAGAAATGGCACTAAAACCCAAGATTTCCTCAGACCTGGGGACGTCTCAAAATATTTTCCCAAAATTTCCTTTTAACACTGGTCAAGGTTATTCCCGAACTTCCAATTTCGGGGTATTTTGGGGAATCTCCCGAAGTCAAATGATCTTGACCAAAGTGAAAGAGGAATTTGGGGAAAACATTGGGGTTTTTGTGCCATTTCCCTAAAGTTTACTATAATGGCTTCCACAAAATATGTCAAAATTTCCCCGAAATTGGGAGCTTGGGTTTGACTGGGGGTTTTCTCAAAATTCTCCCAGAATTCCTCAAATTTCCCCGGATTTCTAGGAGTTCCAAAAAAATAGGGAAATCGGCGATTCTCTAATTTAGGGACGAGCAAATCAGATACGTTTGAGCCTCTAACCTTCTGGCGGCACATTACTCTCAAACATTTCAACCGGCTGACATCAACTTTACTGACGACAGTTTCATCCGAAATTCCACAGGACTTTCCGAGGTAGACCTAAGCACTGACTTGCTGTTCCGGAAATTGCAGCACTTAAGATTAGATACTTCTCCTGGCCCGGATATGGTTCATCCTGCCATACTGAGGGAGGCAGCCTCAATCCTGGCTACGCTGCTTAGCGTGATGTTTTCACACTCGCTTAGCCGAGGCAAAATACCGGAAAATTGGAAGTTGGCTCACATCACACCAATTTTCAAAGGTGGTCGACGCAATGAACCTTCAAGTTATCGGCCGGTGGCTCTTCTGTCATTACCTTCAAAACTCATGGAGTCTCTGATATGCGACGGTTTAAACGACTATCTACTGTCCTTAAATTTCTTCTCACCCCAACAGAAATGGTTACTCTTGTATAACCAACCTGCTGACTGCGGTGGACAGATGGACAAGCATCCTCGATCGCAAGGGAAAGGTTGATATCATTTACCTTGATTTCTCAAAAGCTTTTGATAAGATTAACCACTTGTGTCTTACGAATAAGCTCAAACGACTAAGTATCAAACCACCTCTAATCGATTGGCTTACTTCATACCTAAAAAATTGACACTTTAAGGTTAGGGTTAATTTCACTTTATCTCAGGCTATGGAATGTCCTAGTGGGGTCCCCCAGGGCTCAGTACTAGGGCCTCTTCTCTTCTTGATCTACATAAATGATCTTCCTCAACAGGTAACGTCAGACTTATTACTTTTTGCCGACGACGTGAAACTTTGGAGAGAGATACGCAACCAAGACGATACACGGGCACTTCAGGAGGATCTGACTCGACTTCAAAGTTGGGCAGACGATAACGGACTTACCTTTAACACTTCAAAGTGTAAAGTGGTCCATCTACGACATGTCGCAAACTACAGTTACAACTTAGGAAACTCCTCTCTAGTAGTATCCCAAGTCGAAAAAGATTTAGGAGTCCTGATGCCCCATGATTTGAAGTCTTACGCTAACTGTGACAAAAATGGATTCCGAGCAAACCTTGCACTGATAACGTTGAAGCGCATTTTTGTACAGTTTGACGGACGAACTTTCCATACAATCTTCAATAGTTTCATCCGTCCCCATTTAGAGTACGGAAACATAGTACTCCCTCCCTCACTCCAAAAGGACAAGGTCACTTTGGAGCGTATCCAACGGCGAGCCACGAAATCAGTTCGAGGACTCAAATCTTAACCTTACGAAGAAAGCCTCCATTCACTAGACCTTTACCCATTAGAGTGTAGGCGTCTTAGAGGTGATTTATTAATGGCTTATAGTATTCTTAACACTTCTGGACATCCTCTTAAACACCTACTTAAGCTTAGTTCGAATAATAACCTAAGGGGTAACACCCAGAAACTGGAAACACAACATAGCAAGACGGAATGTAGACACAACTTCTACTCCTTAAGAGTTGTCAAAAGCTAGAATTCGCTGCCGGCCGAGCTAGTCCAAGCGACTTTTCAGGAGTCCTTCAAGAGGCAACTTGACCTATTCTTAAGGACCAAGGACAGCATCACACTATGATTTATCAATTTCTTTTCCTCTTTTATTGTTAACATACCTAGGTTCCTGCCTGGAGGATTTGGTGATCCCCTGCTACTAGACACGGAAGCCTGTTAAGCGAAAGCTTCTTCTATTCCGTCCACAACCATTTGAACCATTTGAATTTCTAGGTCACGGAGCCAAGTTCAACACGCGCTGCTACATACGATCGGCAGCGCTCCAGGGGTATCGCGACACTTCTTCGCGCTACTTTTTCATTTCTGCTTTGTGCACAATCAAATTTCGAAATACATTATGAATAAATTTGAAAGTCTATTTTCCGTTTTCATAATTGGGTAAAAAGGGGTTTTTCCATTTTGCGTTACATGGTATCGTGAAGTCCTTGAAAATTCATTAATCAGGTGCTGCTATAATAGTTTTTCGATGTTTGCATCGCAGATTAGCAATTATTTCTACTTAGGTATACACTGATGGTAGATAAATCTTTTATTTTTATATGAAATAGGAAGATTCAGGCATATATCGTCATAAAAATTGTATTGTCGTCAAGGCCACCAAAACTGCGTTACAACTAACGATACCATGGTAAGATTTATCGTTTTTCCTATCTTTATCACAATTTCTGCTGATTTTCACTGTTTTGTTCGACTTTTATGGCAGAAATAGGTTTATAGTGAAAACATAAGGTGTCCTGAGTGTTGTAAATATTATGTATATGCTATAGATGATAATAACACATATTAAGATGTTAATATCACCTCCTACAGTTAGATATATTAGCCACCAGATGATTGTATTGCACGAAATAAATCATAATCATGCGGTAGAGGTATAATTATGTGGAGATTCTACCAAAGACGAAACTAAGATAGCATTACTACCTCTTGTGTAGATGTACACAAGTATTTGGCTGTACCAAAGCATGTCATTGAGATATGGTTGTGACTTTTTTCTTTTTTTAAATTCTGAATTCACGGGACGACTACCTCAATTCTCAATAGCCGTGCAATTGTTTTGATGTTCTACCTACATTTCAATAAATATTTTTCAAACAGCTTACTTTTTTACTTACATGGGAAAATGTAGAAGTGTTGAGAATGTGTGTTTGAGTGTCAGTGAACTTTTGAATAAATGCACATTCCTTATAAATAATACATCACGTGTTTCTTCTTTTGCAGATAATTTCAAATAACAATGAATTAGCAATTGCATTGGATATGCAAAACAATCGATGCTTAAGCTTCTGCTCTAGTGTTGTACAATAATACGCTTTACCTTTTAAATAAAATTTTTCAAAAACATGCCGGTCTTTCACTGTATTGCAGATTTATTTTGGTCTGTTGTTGAAAATAAAGGTGAACATAGTAGACCTTTGGGGTTATGTCAATGGATGGAAAATAGGGAGTTCTGTGTGTACTTTAGGCGAAAAGTAAACAATTCAGCAGACATTTAGGCGAAAAGTAAACAATTCTGCGGACAGTTAGGCGAAAATTCGGTAATTTGGGGGATATTTAGGCGAAAAGTGAGTAATTTATCCACATTATTTCCTCTGGACAGGCGAAAAATGCGACATTCTGATGTGTTTTCCCCTTTCGCTACCAAAGCATTTACCCCTTTATTTTCCCTTTTTGGGTTGTCTGGGGAGCTACAATGTTTTGGCTGCCGGTATTATTGCAAAAATACCTAATATCAGAAATAAGTACTGATATAAAGCTGTTACGAGAAAGCACTGAAAAGTACGATTCGATAGTCAAGATATCTTGATCTAAGGTGACCAGATTGTGTGAGATCCTATGTGATGATCTTCGGAAATCAACCAAGGCCTGTCTAGCTTACGTGCTGATGCCGTAAATGACAATTACTCATAACTTACGTGGGACTAGAATAGAATATGCATCAAGAATTTCAGGTTACACAGGACGATTGAAAGTAAATTCACACAGTAGTCTTTATATATGTTCATCGTCTAAGTTTCTGAAGTGCAACCTGCCCAAAGAATTAAATAATACAATCCGTGTATGTTGTGACCCAGACTTTCCTAAGCAACGCAAGAGATAAAGGAAATAAGCGTGATTGACTATCCAAAGGAAGGGTGTGCTAAATGCACTTTCGATCTGTAATTGGATACTGGTTTCCGTTTTTATACTAGTTTCTGGTAAACATTTATACTGAAATAACTTTCCTGTCTATCTTATTTCCAGCTAGCTTCGCAAGCGTTCACAGACTTAACGACAGCATAAAGTAAAAATATATTAAAAGAAAGTAATAAATTACACTGGATATTCTTCTTTGACATGATTTAAAAACGCGTATGTTAGCATCCTAACCCTAACCCTCACCTAACTCTAACCCTAAACCCTCGCCTAAACCTAACCCTCAACTAACCCTTAACCCTAACCTTACCTGTAAACCTAACCCAATAGACGAATTTCTATTCCATATGTATTGTGAATTCAGAACCTCTGAACCTCAATCAAACCTTAACAAGTTTTTAAATCATGTAAAAGGAGAGTATCCACTGTAATTCATTACTTCCATATAATATATTTTCACTTTATACTAACATTCTTCTGATTGGCTAATAATTGTCAAGATCACTTAAGATTCGTTCAAAGGTCGTCCTTAAATTAGTCTCACCGGGAAGTCCGTCAAGTGAAAGCGACCGTTATCAAAAGTCACCCATTGATATAGCTTGTATTCAGTAATGTTTTTGACAAAGTTCCTCTAAACTGTCTGTTATTTAAATTGAGTAATATCAGGATTAGAGTCAACTTATTCATGCAGATAAATCTTCTTAGTTGGGCGTCAACAAACTTGTTGACGGGAAAAATCCCCAAGTGCTGCAAGATTCTGTGAAACCTAAAATTTCCCCAAAACTATAGGGATTTCCCGCAGACCTGAGAAAATTTTAGGGTTTTTTGTGTCATTTCTCAATCTCCTTATTTTGGGGTTTTCCCTAAACTCCAATGGTCCTCCCCAAATTCTTGGGGAATTTCCCTAGATCTTGAGGAGATTTTCGGGTTTCAGTTTGAAAAGGACAGGAAACTTGGTGGCCTGTGTTAGTCCTGGCAATGGTGGTTTCTCAGTTGATCCGACTTTCTGTTGAAAGAGTCGACGGATGGAGTGTCAACCACGTGCTGAGGTGGTGAATTCCACTCGTTGATGATCCTATGGAGACGTCGTTAGTCAGCTGACAAGTAATTTGTCATGGGCTTGCGAACGTTTGTGCAGTGTCCTCGTTAATTCTCTGTTTTGGAAGACAAGAAAAATGGGGGCATATAAGGTGCAAATTTATCACTAAGTAATTTGAAAACCGTCATCAAGTCGCCTCTAGTTCTGCGATATGACGACGGGAAAAGGTTCAACTTGGCCAGTCGAGCTTCATACAGAAGCTTCGCTATTCCGGGAATAAGCTTAGTTGCCGTTCTCTGAACCTTGTCCAGAAGCTCACTGTCCTTTTTAAGCAGGGGCTAGCCGGTTGTATGCAGTACTCAAGTTTAGGACGTACGAACACTGTATGCAAAGTCAAAAACGTCTCAGCGTCGACATGACCAAAAGACCTACGTATTGACCATAAGGTTCCAAAACCTTTGGCGGTTATTGCACGGCAGTGTGCATTGGTCTTGAAGTCTTGGCTAACGATGACTCCTAAGTCTGTGTGTGTCTGGACAACAGGTAGCTCAGTGTGATTCATCGTGTATGTATCTGTGCTTCGATGACCAACATGCATCACAATACACTTGGAAGTATTTATCGGCAACTGCCAGGTTTGAGACCATTCAGATTTCTTCAGGTCATTTTGGAGTTCTAAGCTATCACCGTCACTTCGTATCGCTCTCCATATCTTGACATCGTCAGCATATAGCAAGACCGATGATGATAGTAGATGAGGGAAATCATTTACATATAAGAGGAATAACACGCCCCAAGACTGTACCCTAAGGCACTCCCCAAAAATAGGTAGATTGGGAGGAGTACGTGTGAACTCGAAGTTGTGTAGCTGGGACGCTTTGGTGTTCATCTTTTTGTGCTAATGAGGTATGGCAACTTGGACTGTTGCATGTATTTGTCTGGTCCTACGTTGTAGATGACTGAATAACTGGGAAACTGCTCAGCGGAACACCTCAGTACAGTTTTGGGACGTGTTGCTCCTCCCGTATGTAAATGACATTCCTAGTCTCTTTTCATCGTTGGTTTTGTTGTATGTTAACAAGGCCAAGAAATGAAGCGTGATTGAAGGTGATAGTTTGGAGCTTCAAAATGACCTGGAGAAATTATCCAAATGGTCAAGAATTTGGCAGTTGCCGGTACATGCTTCCAAGTGCACTATGATGTATATTGGTCACTAAGACAGATACATAGATGGTGAACAACATTAAGTTACCTGATATTCAGACATACGATAACCTAAGAGTTATTATTTGCCAAGATTGAGGAAAACTACTGCCATGTGATAGCCGCCGAAGGTTTGAGAACCCTGTGATTTATACGCAGAGCCTTGAGCCATGGCAATGCCATAAACCCTTTTGACTTTGTGCACAGTGTTTGTTCGTCCTAAACTCGAGTAATGCATACATGCAGTTATCTTCGGCCTAAAAAGAGACAGTGGGCTGTTTGAGGTTCGGCAAACTACAGGTTGGCTGATTACTGGAATATCAAAGCTCCCTTAAGATGATAGACTAAGTCTTTTTTTTTGTCACATAAAAGAATTAGAGGTGAATTAATCACATTTTGAATTACTTAATTAGAAATTCGCACTAGATATCCACTCATTTTTCTTGTCTTCTGAAACAGGAGTTACGTGGGCACCAAAAACGTTCACAATTCCAGAACAAATTACTTGTTGGCTGACTATCGAATATCCTCCAACTCGCAAACAAGTGGAATTTATTACCACAACACATGATTGAAGCTCCATCTGTTAGCACTCTTAAGATAGTTGGATCGACTGGGAGACTGCAGTTGCCAGAACCAAGATAGGCTACCTAGTCTTCTGCATTTAAAAGTGACTTCGCACATTTTACGGGTTTTATTGGAATTTAATTCAGTCATCCAATGTGGTTTCCCAATATAAACGTCATTAATGTAAGTTGCAGTGCCCTACTGTTTTTAATGTGTACGACTAGTTACCTCTAATTTGCAAGTGTGTAAGTTCCGTAGAACTAAATAAATTAGAGAATTAGGATGCGTTGAACTGCAGTGTTTGTATTATTAGTTTATGGTACGTGAATTTGAGTCCCAGGTCGGTCAAAGAGTGGTAAAACTAAAAGCAGCAAACCCAAGGTCCGAAGGTGAAGTGGTACCGTCGACTGTACAGAGGCATGACGGTAGTAAGGTGTTCCCCTCGGACAACCAGCATAACAGCGATGCATAACAGCCTTCGCATAAGGAAGGGTGGTGTTAGAGAAGGTTGACTCTAAAAATATACATCTCGCCTTATCCCACGGATTTCCTTCTCCGGTGCTAACGTCTCAACAAATTACCCACACAAAGGTCGTATGTGACCGGCCCTGATCAGTTATCTCTTGGGCGCTGCGGTCACGTTTATAGGTCACCAAGGCCAACTCTAACCCAATTTCCTTTTCAGGTACCTCTAGAAGAGCCCATCCACGGTGTGGGCAACTGGGAAATGAAAATCGCTCTCACACCTCAACAGCACTCAAGACCACTGAGTGACAGTACGTGAGTGACTTTTCCGAATGGAGAATGCTACCTTAGGAGTGGTCAGTTTCTATAGTCAGCCCCATATGATTCATCTTTGGATTTCTTATAAAACTAGATTCGTTGAAAGTATTTTCGTCGAGTACAGTGCACTTAGTTTCAAAGCCTATTTTGTAGCAAGAGCTGGCCAACATGCGTCTCAACACATCAGTCCTATATTAATATCCCTAACTAAAACAGCATTGTGTTGTAATCAACATACACCTTATGATTTCCAACTGCCCCCAAATGCCCTGGTACGGCGGAGAGTGGGGAGAGTCCGCTCTCCCTCTCAAAATGCTCACACATGGCCACGCGTATGTACCCTCTGCCAGGGGAGTATCGGACGAAATCTCAGCACGGATTCGTTCGGCTTTTGTCAACTTACGTCACCTGTGGCGAAGGCGAGATATCCGTCTATCAATAAAAGGACGAGTATACTGCGCGGCAGTCCGTTCTGTTTTAATTTACGGCAGCGAAACATGGCCATTTAGAGTAGAAGACACTCGTAAGCTACTAGTATTTGACCACAGATGCCTTAGAAATATTGTTGGCGTCTGCTGAGATCACCGGGTAAGTAATAGTGAGGTTAGACGCAGGGACCCGACCGAAGCTGCTACCTTGACGCGGTGGTCGGGCTTGCCTATCGTGATGACCCAACCGAGCTATATCGACTGGAACATACGTTCCTGTAGGTTCTACCATGCCAGGCAGGTCGATTGGTGAACGGTAAGACTAAAAGCAGCAACTCAAGGTCTGAGGGCGAAGTCGTACTGCTGACTGTAGAGAGGTGTGACAGCAGTAAGGTGTTTCCCTCGGACAACCAGCATGACAGCGATGCTGCCTTCCCACAAGGAGGGAGGGGTTAGAAAAGGTCGACCCTAAAAATGCACACCTCACCTTACCTCACGGATTTCCGTCTCCGGCGGTAAGACCCTTTGAAGAACGGAGCTAACACATTAAAAACCTCCCACGAAAAGGCCGTGCGCGACCGGCCTCAATCAGTTGTCCCTATAATTGATAATAATCTACTATTCAATAATACTGAAATTGATTTACAATATTCTGATAATAAAAATAAACAAAAATGTAAGTTTTTTTTTTTCAATATTTTATAATTAGTCAGAATAATTTCTAACTAATTATAATGTAGTATGACGATTCGAACTGATGTATGTATGTACGAAGTTCTACATTGTTACTGACTGACTGGTTGACTAAGTCAGGATAATTTATTGAATCATATAAAAGTATGTATGATCTATATTTTAGATGATGGTTAAAGGTAGTCGACAGGAAACTCTGGATCTGGGTTTCGTGCTACTTGGCACTCGTCAGCAAGGGAACTGGTGCTCCCTGACAAATTCGATCCTATGTCACCCAGCTATCTTTTTGACTACCTCCAACTACCATCTAATCTCAACATAGTGCACGCAGTGTCGAGTGACCTAGACTAGTGACCACATTGCAATTTGGTCGATAGCATTCGATTTGTAGTAAGATGGACTTGACATACATAACATTGATCATCACTCAGTGATCAATCAATTGTGAATCTATATTTAAGATTATTTATATATCATTCACTATGTTGAATAAGTTGATCTTTCAGTATGTACGTGAACATTTATCCGTATTATGATATATGTGTAGTCATTTAGTGATGACTGAATTCTGTCGGTCAAGTTGTAGTATAGTCGTTAACCTAAGTGATTTGACATTGCATTTATTGTATGGTGTAGTATTTATGTTAATGAAGTTAGTTGTTTGTTTGTCATTTATTTTAATAAGTTAGAATTTGATACAAATGAGTATCAATTCGGTGAGACTATAATTTATGGATGACCTTTTGGTGACGTTGGATCGACCTTGAGAGTGTTCATCTAATAACTAGGACTGAATAAAGGTTATAGGCCAGTGTGAGGAATTAAAATTATGATTTACAATTGATGGTTAGCGTTAAGAAATGGATTTAGGGTTTACATCACGAATTGATATCAGCAATAATGCTAAAACTCTATTTAGCCAAATACATGCTTACTTCCTAACGCCTGTTACTTCCAATGGAGCATAGGCCGCCGATCAACATTCTCCAACCCACTCTATCCTGGACCCTCCTTTCCAGTTCTATCCAATTTTCGCTCATTCTTCTCATTTCTCTCTATTTTCATTTCGCGGCGTAATGTGTCGTTTGGTCTTCCTCTCCGTCTTTGGCAATGAGAATTTCAAGTGCGAGCTTGCCCTGTGACGCATTTGGGTGGTTTCCTCAATGTGTGTCTTATCCACTTTCAGCGCCTCCTCCAAATGTATGAGTGAATTCCGAGGCCAAATTCGGAGACCTGTTATCTCATACCTGATTGGTTCGTTCATAAATTATAGTCTCGCCAGATTTTGGAAAATAGATACAGCCTGATTATTTGATTACGCAATTAACAGATGGACAACTAGCATGAATCAAAGTTTGTGCAAATTGGCAAACATCATGCAATCGGTAGATGGCTCTAAATCTAGGCTTCTTAATAGTTTACACTCATCTGAAATGTGTTTTTTTCAATCTTGGGACAACTGGTGCTTATTGTAAGATCACACTTGTCGCTTAGTATCACAGTCAAAAACGCTGCTAATCGCCTATTCCGTTATTGACTGACGATTTGTCTAAATGATATATTTACATTGATTAATCATTTGATAGTAACAATAAGTACGTTTATCTAAATGTTAGTGATGATTGAGTTTAATCGACCGTGTTACTTTATGGTCAAAAGTTTGATCGATTGAAGACTGCACATTGTTTGTTATTATATCATTTAAGGTATTCAACAGGAAATCATCACAAATAACCTTATTAAAAAAATTAGTGTGTTAATAATTTTGTCTAGTTTGGTAGAGCAAAGCTTTCTAGGCAAAAATGTGAACTCATGAAGCTCATTTCATCCAATTTGGGACTCATCAGCTGGATGTACTTACATCCCAGAGTGAACATCAACTCTGAGATCCAGGTACATCCAACTGATGACTCCCAAATAGGATGAAACGCGTGTGCTGGATTTCATTACTGACCACTGTCCATCTCAACTTATAAATCTTGTGACCTAAGGTAATATCGAGAGCAGTGCGCAAGGAATGCACATATACCAACAAGAGACTGATCAATTGCAACCCTGCATAACAATGGGAAGATACAAGTAAACAACACTAAGTAACCATTTACCATTGCAGTCAGTCAGTCAGTAACAACGTAGAACTTCGTAAGTACGTACATCAGTTCGAGTTGCTATACCACATTACCACACAGATACAATTGTCGATTCAAATCCCAGTGGTACAAGTAGTAAGAGTATAAGCAGTAATGGGAAAGATTAGGATTTTATGTTATTCAGGGAGTTTAATCCAGTGAAATAAATTTGGAGAGAGAGAAAATAAGGGACATGTAGAATTCAGAAAATTAGAATTTGGGAGAACACAAAGAGTAGATGAACCTGCGCCATTGAAAACGATTTTGAGCCATGTCATTCAGGGTCTCTAACCATCGGTTGCTATCATTTCACGGACCCCATCCAGGTAGTCTACACCTACTAACATGATTCAGTTCACTTGTCAGTGACTTCATGGAGTTGTGCCATGTTTCGGTCTGGCCACCCTTAGCTTTCTTCCAATCTACTCCTATACTATTGAACATCGCACGTCGAGGCAGTCGCTCGTTAGGCATACGTAACACGTGTCCAGCCATCTCAACTGATGAAGTTTCACTACTTCAACATTTGATTTGCCATCATTACCATTACACTATTTTTTCTATTCAATATACCATATACAATACTATCTCATTTTAATAATACTTGATTTATTTCTATAGTCAATAAGAATAGTTCAACGTTAAATGGCAATTGATCGGATAGACCATGAACTAAACAACGTTTTGCATTTCATTCAATATTGAACAATCGCTATTGTTTATTATTAGCGGAAAGGACAACAGTTAGTTTGTTTGTGTTTTCTTCTCTTTTTTCTTAATACCAACTAATAGTTTTCAATATAATTATCATTGGAATAATGAACAAATAGTTGGATAGTTTTGTATGATTCTAGTTATTTGATTTCAATAAAAGCATTTATGATTTTAATGTAAATATCATCTAGGTTTTTATTTTAATACATTTTCTTTCTGTTAAACTTCTCTGACATTATCGTATCAGAAGGGGTTTTGTGGATATATTATAGTAGTTTCAATATAATTGAGATCATGAGTCAATTGAAGCTAGACAACCATAGAAAACGTGGAAGCAGTGAACAAACGTTTCGTCCGGTTATGGGACTCTTCAGTAGTGCGCACCCACGATCCCACCTCGCGAGATTCGAACCAAGGACCTATCAGTCTCACGTGCGAGCTCTTAACCTTTAAACGACTGAGCCGCTCGGATGAGATCCAACGGTGCTAATGTCTAACTTCAATTAGTCCACGAAATTGCGCCACCGTCCACAATCGTCTTCAGTAATTTGCTATCTCATAACAGACCCGGTTGAACTCCATTGGTCACTGCTTCTCACTAGAACTCCAAGAAATCCATCTCGAAGCCAGTCACTAGTGAGGTTAAGCGTTCGCATGCGAGGCCGACAGGTTCTGGGTTCGAATCTCGAGAGGTTGGATCGTTGATGTACACTACTGAGAAATCCCACAACAGGACGGAACGGCCGTCTAGTGCTTCCAGGTTTTCCATGGTGGTCGAGCTTCAATTGACTCATGACGTCAACCATTAAAATTAATGTATATCGATCGAATTGAATGCATACTTTACCATTCTATACTGTAGAAAATCATAATTATTTATATGATCATATGAGGTTATAGTATTGTTTTTTTAAGGATTGGTGGATTAGCAACTAGTGAAATATCTCCAAATATTAGAGGGAACTAGTTGTCCTTTATTTATGTGCCTAATATATATTATAGTCAATGTGTACAGACGCTTATTGATGTCACTATTTTGCACCAGTCTCGAAATATGCTTATTGAATATGCAATTGTGCAGTTTTGAAAAATATGTATTCCTGTGGTAACCTATGTATAGGTGTGCAACGGACAAGTGAGAAATACTGGTTTGCGATATAAAATCATAGTCAGACCTCATAGTGTAGTGTCTTTTATTATGTGAAGCCTACATGGGTTGTCCTAGCTTCCGGACGGACCAGTTTCTTCGTTCACATATTAAGTCACGCTTGATCGAAACAAGTTGGCACGCTTGTTTGCTCTACTTCGCTGTCCCGCTTCTCATTCTTAATGTTTGTCGGAATAAACGAGTGTCTGAAATAAATCCATCCAACTCAATCCGTATTTGCTTTTTAATAACGCCGTTACACAAACGGGATTAGCCTAGGTAATATACGAAGTTAGACGGAAAATTCATGTTCTTAACATACTCATACGTTCATCCAAATCGGAGTCAGACCAAACAACTGCTGAAACATCATTCATGAAGTATTGAACATGTTATTTGGGACGTCTGTAGTGAATGACCATATACTATCCACTGTAGTGATTCATTCGGGAAGAGAGTTAATTGCGACTGCATCCAAACCTTATAAGGTATTCATATCTGGAAAATTAGTAATGATTATCGAAGTTAGGGAGTTTTCTAGCCTTTAGATCTTCAAGGTGCCTCATCATCACACAAATTCTCTTTGTTTACAAATTAAGAAAACTAGTTATTCTTTTTCCTTTTTACATCATTTTGAATTTGTTCTGAGCTTCAATCTTCACCATCTGACGATCGTTCGTCTTTTGTCGTTACCACTACGTAATTCTAAATAACAACCCCTCCCACCCCCAGAATTTCCGTACTGGTCATATAAATATGGTGCGTTATCGATTAGTCGATAATCAACATAATCACTCCCCACACTTGGTATCTCATACGTCATTGAGGCGCAGAATATCAGATGACTGTGATAAATCCTTATTTAGAAAATACACCATTCTATGCATAAACTTGGAAAACCTAAAATTACACTTTAAAGAATATGATTAGATAATTCCTGTTGTTTGGTTCAGAAACAGCACAAATCGTCCAGTAAGATAATGAGGATTATGTAATAGCACGAACCAATACATGCATTACGAAAATGATTGCCTCATCAATCGTAATGTTGATTATCGCTAGTAACACAGCTGTTCGCTGTAAATACTGAATAACGCCCACTTTCTACTTATAACGTTAAGACTATAGACGAAAATTTATTTATTCATTAACCAGTGATTAATACATCAAAAATAATATTGAAATATATTTATAGTTGAATTCATCAGTCAATTGAAGGCAAACCATCATGGAAAAACTGGACGGCGGTTTCGTCCTAGTATGGGAGTCCTCGGCAGCGCGCATCCACGATCCCGCCCCGCGAGACTCGAATCCAGAACCTATCAGTCTCGCGCGCGGACGCTTAACCCCTAGACCACTGAGCTGGCATCCAACGGTGTTAATGCTGAAATAAACACCATTTCAGAAGTCTGGTCGATGGATAAATTTGGACACATTCAATGAACAGAGGTTGACTATGTTTATAGTCGAGAAAGTCAAGAGATGACACCCCTGAATCTAATAATTGTTTCTTAAACACTGAATTAACTATCCTTGTCAAGTTCTCATTTGCGTTTGTAAATATTGGTATGACTATTCTTCATGCCCCTGCGAAAAAAAAGTAGTCAGTTACCACTGTATCACTGAACAGCGATTGATACGAACTTTCGTAAGAAAGCTAGACTACAGATTTATGTGTTCCAACCGATGATTTCGAAACTATGTCAAATGTACACTGAATTATATGATTTAGCCTTTGGGGCGGTGGTCGAATATGAATATATTGAGTAAGGCAGCAGGTGATATAAACTAAGGAGTAGCGAAATGCGACTGCTTAATTTACAATGACAATCCAACCAACTCCTTTCACTATACGATAAACTGCTGACCAGAATATTCATTTCCTTGTCACATCAGAACACTACTCAATCGCCCACATACTTTTTCCCTATAACAACGTCCAATTGATTTCAATCATTTTTCTGTTTCACAGATGTTTCAACCTACTTCTAACACAATTTATATGTGCATCCACTACATTGTGTTTCTACCAAACCGAAGTCTGCCTATATCGATGTGGCCATTACAATGGTCGCATGTTTTCCGTATATATTCAAATGTTTTAATAGCTACTTAGTGTAGAGCAGTCGTATAATGATTCAGCCACATAGACACCGCCCGGTTTGGGCATTAGTATGCAAACTTATACTTGATTATGGGGTTCCTCGTCCATGAAAGACTAGTTTATATTACTTAGTTATATTCTAACACACACAAGTACTCAGAGAGGATTGTTGTTTGTCCTACTCCTACTTACTCAGGCTTTATGCATTAACTACAATCGCAACTTTTCAACACAAAATTTCCATCACACGAGTACCTTACGTGACAAGTAAGTGATTGTAGGTGGTGCTCATCACCAAACGTTTTCATTTAATGTATAAATAGGAACTATGAAGTACTGGGAATCTGTCAGTTCCTAGTATGATATCCTTTACTAATAATTACCCACGACTTCGCCAAAGATCTATGGGTCTCGCTGTGAGTGCCGCACATTAAAAACAGTAGAAATTGAAAGCTTCATATTGCTAACTCCAATCAACTCGTGATTTGTCGAGAAAACCATACATCGTTATCCGTAATCACTGATCCTCTATCAACATGACTCAAACTCACTGGTCATAGCTTTCTTCTGGAATTCGTTTCGAATTCAATAGTAAGAACAAGATAATGGTTTGCTTGAAATGTCCAATACTATGAGCCGAAACAGCTGTTCAGTGTTCCTTAGTTCTTCATGGCCCGTCGGTCTACTCCGGGTGACCATGAGTTTGACCACAAACAAAGGATGTTACGTAATGAAATTGGGCAAAGCTTGCGTAAGGACAGAGAAGCCTGGTGGTCGGAGCGTGCTAATGAGCTGGAAGCAGCAGCTGCATCTGGTAATTATCAGCTCTTCCAACTCATCCGAGCCACTGACAGCAAGAAGTCTGGTGTGAGTGAAACAATCTGCGAGGATGACGGGATACCAATCACTAACACCCATCGACGTCTTGGACGATGGGCAGAATTTTTCGAAGGGCAGTTCAACTGGCCTGCTGCTCCGACAACATCGGTCAGACTGTCCTGCCCTCCATGGCCGGTGACGACTGATCCACCAAACGAGGAGGAAGTCCGCAAGGAACTCCAACTCTTGAAGCGTTACAAATCACCTGGCCCAGATGACTTACCTCCGGCTCTTTTTAAAGATGGTGGTGACTTTCTGACTAAGGAATTGACGACGTTGTTTACAAAGGTCTTGAAGCTAGAGAGTGTGACAAAGTCATGGAATGAGTCGATAGTTGTCCCTATCTTTAAAAAGGGTTCACGTCGTTCCTGTAACAACTATCGGGGGATAAGTCTACTTCCGATTGCGTCCAAACTATTGGCTTCCGTCATACTTCATAGGTTGTTCAAAACCCGAGAAAGATTGACTCGCGAGGAGCAGGCTGGGTTTCGTTCTGGTCGAGGATGTATTGATCATATCTTCACCCTCCGTCAAATGTTAGAACACCGCCATACTTATCAAAGGCCAACAATCGTAGTGTTTCTCGACATCAGGGTTGCCTTCGATTCGTTGGACAGGACTGTTCTCTGGGATTGTCTATTGAAGAAGGGTGTGCCTGAGAAGTTTATTAACATCCTAAAAGCCCTATATAAAAACACCTCAGGAAGAGTGAGGGCATACAACTACCTCCCTCCATTGTTCCATTCGAGCAGTGGGGTTAGGCAGGGTTGCCCAATCTCACCATTCCTCTTCAACTTTGCCATCGATGACATTCTGGAAACAGCTCTGATGAATGTAAGTAATGGTGGTGTGGATCTGTTGTTGGAGAAAGACTTCTCGACCTTAAGTATGCGGATGATATTGTCTTACCGTGCGAAAATGCCCAAGTCATGCAATCCACACTAAACCATGTTAGTGATGCAGAAGTTCGGCATCATGTGTTCTGGAGCAGAGACGATAATCCAATTGGTGTCATCATCTTGAAACATCGACTTCGTTGGCTTGGACATATTCTACGAATGTCGTCCCAGAGAATTCCACATCGTGCATTATTTGCCGACTGTGGGACTGGTTGGAAAAAGCGGAGAGATGGTCAGTGCATGACATGGTGTCGTGGTATGAAAGAAAGCTGCAAAGGACTGGCTTCTGTTGGTCCTTCACGACTCCCTGGTCGGGGTTCGAGAGATGGTGCAACACAGTGGCTAGAGACGTTATCAGATATGACTCAGAATAGAAGCCAATGGTGATCCTGCTGTAACCTTCTTTTACTTTCTTCATAAAAAGTGGTTGTAACTTCTTTAACTGAAACTATTCTTCTGGTTGTACCTTTCTGACTCCCCCATTATTAGTATTATTTCACTACTATACACTAATTTGTGGTCGTTATTGTCCTTTTTTTCTCTTTACACACACCTAACATTTTTTATTTCTTCCCGTTCTCATTATTATTGTGTGGTGCATATGTATCTGGTGCCCACTTGTACCAATATTTATGTGTTCAAATAAATAAATAGATAAACATGGTACTCCAACTGAAGTTAATCCATGGCATATATTATCTGTTAAAATGAAAAGAAAAAAACTAGTCACCACAGAAATTCCTATTCAAATGGGTGATTATGGAAAATGTTTAGAAATTAAATCACTTCACCATAATATATCGTAATAATATTGATAACCAATCCAATTATGAGGATTACTTTATACATATCAGGATTTTTTAACAATTTTGATCGAAAATTAAACACCTGATCGGCAAAATCAAATGCAACCCTTAAAATGTCAAGAGTACGCGACGAATTACAGGAGCTTCGAGTCATTCTAAATCCGTTTGGTCCCACAATCATACTCCAAATCTCTCTCAGATTCTATCAAGGAAAAAAAAAGGTTAAAGTAAACAGTTACTAATCCCAGTTTAACTTACGAGAACTGATTAGTAAATGTACAATTACAAGAGCAAAGCCTTAAGTTATTTATTCCTTCGATTCAAATCTATTATCATGATTCCAAATATACTTTTTCTTAGTCGTTTGTACAATACATACTATAGAGTTTATTACTACAGTTATTTATAAAATTTTAATTAATTGAAATAAAACCACATCTAGGAAAAATAACCCAAAGCTACAACACAACCACATGCTGTCTGTCATGCCAAGCATAGTTTTACGATCATTTTATTCTAAGAATATCGTATCGCCAATGAACATCACATCCAAATAAATCAATATTATCATACATAGAGTTCCCTTTATTATGTTAACGAGAGAAAGAATGAAGATTGGTACAGAATAATATGAATTGATTTGATTTCGTTAGGTTTTTATCAGCTGCTTATAACCTATAATATTGATTAAGATCTTGAACCGATTTATGTTAAACCACCATTGAAAACCTGGAAGCACTGGACGGTCGTTTTTTTCCTATTGTGGAACTCCACAGAAGTGCGCATCCACGATCCCGCACCCCGCGCAATTCGAACTCAGAGCCTTCAGTTTCGCGCGTGAACACTTAACCTACTAGACCACTGAGCCAGCATCCAACCGTTTGTAATGCCTAACCTCAACCAATCAACGTTATTACATATATTGACATACTTATTATAAGTACTTACTCTCTTTAAAATCAATATTACACTGAATAAAATATTACGCCGAAAATAAAATAAATATTAAACTGACTAGTTATTACATTCGATCAGAAACGGAAATGATGTTGGATAAAGATTTGATATTGCCTTTTGATTCTGTCATATTATATGTCTACTGAAATATTCAGATTACCATGGTCAAATGTCCTCAACTCCCAAAAGACCGTTTAAACCATCTGGGACCAAGTTCCGTCGTAATCAAATCGATGGTTTCAAGCTTGTAACAAGAATAGTCAGATAGACAGAGCAGACTGCCTTTTGAAACACTATAGTGATTTTACTTTTATTATAACTCAGATGTAAACAGAAAGATTTGCATGCATTATCATTAGTTATGTTACTGGAAGATCCCTACAATCACTGCCAAGTGAAATAGATTGACCAACATTATGCGCCGTAAGCCTGAAGCAAAAAGATTTTAAAAAATTTCATGAAAGCACATTAGGAGATAACCCACTACTGATTTCGGTTAACGTGAAAGCTGTGATAGCATTATATTCGACGATGAATAAAAAAATATAAATCATGTGTCAGTCTTTAACATTCTGAGGATTTCGTTGACTGAATACATTATATAAAAGTTATTATATATGGAAATTATATTTGAAATAATCTCAGCGACTGAAATTTAAATAATCCTAACGTTTCGGTCAGCAAACTTGTCTGAACTTCTTTAGGGTAATAATAGAAATCTATACTCAGTGCCTAAATTTTGTCAAACTATTCGTTGACGAATGTTCATATATATTATAGAAAAGCTGTTTCTTGCAAGCAATTGTAGCAAACATATATGGCTTGTTTGATATGTACATAAGTGATGACTAATACTACTCGCTCAAACTAAGTAGTCCATAGACTTCTACACGTGCCTACATTCTCAAAACGAAAAATGTCACAATCTAGTAATTGTTCATTTAATCATTTTTCTCAGAATGTTTCTAGTATAGGTCTAAGCATCTGTAACATGTGGTCTTATAGTACTTCCATAATTACTTCTCTTTTCAATAATCTTCAGTCAGTCAGTAACAACGTAGAACTTCGTAAGTACGTACATCAGTTCGAGTTGCCATATCACATTACCACACAGATACAATTGTCGATTCAAATCCCAGTGGTACAGGTAGTATGAGTAGAAGCAGTAATGGGAAAGATTAGGATTTTATGTTATTCAGGGAGTTTAATCCAGTGAAATAAATTTGGAAGGAGAAGAAATAAGGGACAAGGAGGAATAAGGAGATCAAAATTTGGGAGAACACAAAGAGTAGATGAACCTGCGCCATTGAAAACGATTTTGAGCCATGTAATTCAAGGTCTCTAACCGTCGGTTGATATGATCTCACGGATCCCAACCAGGTAGTCTACACCTACTAACATGGCTCAGTCCACTTGTCAGTGACTTCATGGAGTTGTGCCATGTGGTCTGGCCGCCCTTAGCTTTCTTCCAATCTACTCCTATACCATTGAACATCGCACGTCGAGGCAGTCGCTCGTTAGGCATACGTAACACGTGTCCCAGCCATCTCAACTGATGAAGTTTCACTACTTCATCAATTGATTTGCCATCCTTACCTAGTACCCGTTTCCTAACAACTGCGTTTCTTACTTGATGGTCCCTGGATATACGAGCAATATTTCGAAGACACCTATGATCAAATATTAGTAACCTACGAATATCCTCTACTCTTACCGGCCATATTTCACTGTCATAATGTAGGACCGAAAGAACTGCTGCACAGTGAACACGTCCTTTGGTTGATAGACGGAGATCTCGCCTACGCCATAAATGACGCAAGTTGGCAAAAGCTAGTCGAGCCTTCTGTATCCGTGCTGAGATTTCGTCACACACCAGACCACAAGAGCTGATGAGACTTCCAAGATAAGTGAAGCGGTCGACACGCTCAATTACTTCACTCCCTATCATTAGTTCGGGTGTCAACGCAACCCAATCCTAAAGCAACATTTTGCATTTCGAGGGGGAGAATCTCATCCCGAACATGCTTGCATTGTTGCTTAGAGTGGTCAGAAGACTCTGCATTTTGTCAGCGTCTTCACCAAATAAAACTATGTCATCAGCATATTCTAAGTCAACAAGTGAACCTCCTGGTAGAAGTTCAACCCCTGGAAATTTAGATGAGGAGAGTGTTATCTCTAAAAGTACGTCAATGACAAAGTTTAAACAAGAATGGGGAGAGTGGACAGTCCTGACGAACACCACTTGAGGTAATCAATTCTGATGACAGTTCGCCATAAGCTCTCACTCTACCAGTTGTGTTCGAGTAGAGAGCCTGTATCAGGTTAATGTACTTCTTTGGTACTCCTTTCAGTGACAAACACTGCCATAGAACCTTACGATCAACAGAGTCAAATGCCGCCTTAAGGTCGAGAAATACTACCATTGTGGGGCGTCTGAACGTGTGTCTGTGTTCTAGAACCTGACGTAGTGTGAATATCTGATCTATGCAACCACGTTCAGGTCGAAAACCAGCCTGATTTTCTCTAGTCTGCTCTTCACGAGCTTTGGTTAGGCGTCGAAGTATTATTGAAGCTAATATTTTAGACACTATATTAGTCAAACTGATTCCTCTGTGATTGTCACAAGAGGACTTTTGTCCTTTCTTAAAAACTGGCACAATCAGTGATTGAGACCAGTCAGATGGGATTACGTCCAGTTCCCAAATTCTACCTAAGACCTCGGTTAATCTCATTGCTAATACTGGATCACCATCCTTAAAAATCTCAGGAGTAAACCTGTCGGGGCCTGCTGCTCTCCCTCGCTTCAGATTTCCTATGGCTTTTTCAACTTCGTAAAGGGACGGAGGACTTACATTAACTTGCCATTCAGGTTGACTAGAGATCGTGGGAAACCGAAGTGTGGCTGAAGGCCAGTTGAACTGATCCCTAAAGTGTTCTGCCCATCGATCCAATCTCCTGGATTGAGAATGAATAATATGTCCATCTTTCTCTGAGATTGTTTCGCTAACGGTCGGGTTCCTAATTCCGGTTTCCTTAACAAGTCTGAACAATTGTCCGCTATTACCTATTGCCGCTGCCTTTTCCATCTCTCTTGTTTCGCTACCCACCACTGTTCGCGATCATTGCGTAGACTTCTTGTCAGCTTGCGCTTAAGCTGACTCCGCTCTTCATTATGTTCAGAGCCAGGTGGAATGAGTTTCCGAGCATCTATCAGTGAGATAGATGCTGTTGAGATCCAGTGTTGCTCCCTAACCTTCTGGTTTACCTTACTAGCAGATATCACTGCTGTTTCCACAGCTTTTCGGATATCATTCCATGCTGCCTCGTGGTGGGCATCACATACATGGCTGCCTAACTGTTTTCCTAGTTGTTCCTGAAATATACTCTTAGCTTGACTATCATTAAGTAGGCCCCTAAGAGGTTTCCTTGCAGCGTCTTTCCTACGTCCAGTAAGACGCAGACAGATACGCGCTCGTACTAGAGCATGATCTGAATCTAAGCATGTGCTCCAGAATGAGCGACAGTCTTCTATCGAGCCTCTCCATCGATGGCTGATAGCGATGTGATCTATTTGGGTCCAACGTTGGGACGAATTAGGGGGTCGCCATGTTAAAAGATGTTTTTGCTTATGCCTAAAGTTAGTATTTGCAAGAAAGAGGCGGTTATCTGAGCATAGCTGCAACAGGTGGTCGCCATTATCTGTTCTTTGAGCCACGACATCATAAGATCCACCCAGGTGTCTTTCCCTATCGCTTAGTTTACCTACTTGAGCATTAAAGTCACCGGCCACTATTACTACATCCGAGCGCCTAGCTTTTCGGAGAAGGTCCGAAAGCTTTCTGTAAAACTCATCTTTTACATCATCTGCGCTGCAGTCAGTGGGAGAATAGGCAGAGACGACGAAGAGGCAACGACGAGTGTCCCTATCTTTTCGGATCCTTACTGTTCCGTTCAGTCGGACAGCGCACAAACGACTGTCTACTGGGATCCACTCTAAGAGAGCTAGTTCTGCCCTAGGACTCAATGCTATACCTACGCCGGCGAGGCCACGGGAAGCACAATCAGGGCTTCCAGATACACGAAGTGTGAATCGAGTCGGTTCTTTATTTTGGCATGGTGAGGTCAAATGAATGACGCTACTTGGATTCTGTATGCGCGTTTCGGAGACGCAGCACACATCGATGGCGCGAGATTCTAAAGTCCTAGCTAAGGACGCTTGCTGTCCTATTTGGCACAGTGTTCGTACGTTAAAAGCTCCTACGTGTAGTTT